ACCAATAGCCAAGACAAGCTACATCCAGTTTATACTACAACCTACACCGATAGTCATGTCCATAACTATCTCAGTTGTGAATACCATTTATATCTTATAAGGAACCGACAATGCAATCTTCTGTGTGACTACTAACACACCACATTGTCTATAATATAAGATAATTGGACATTTAGCATACAAGCAATCATAAAGAATGCAACAATGTGAAAAACATTTATTTCAGTCAAATGGGAAATCGAATAATACAATCCAAAAGCTCACGTAAAAGTTTGCTTTACAGTATACTCCAACACTGATGCCTCAACCATGACGATCATACTCTGGTACTCCTCCGGCGTCTTCACCTACTTCAGCTCCAGCACCGCTGGCACCGACCTCAGTTCATCCGCCGTGATGAACCCGCCCTGTCCTGATCGAAAACCTTAAACGCCTCCCGCACGTCTTCTTCACCGCCGCCCCCCTCGTGGCCTCTACCGTCTTCCATTGCCGCCGCATACAGGGCGTCGAACTCCTCGGCATCCACCTAGACGTTCCCGTTGGCGTCAATCTTCTCAATCATTTGGCCTTTGAAAAAGACTGGCAAGCCCTACATCAAACCAATATAACTTTTCCTCAAGAGCATCTTGTATAAATCCGGTTACCAATTGTGAAAAACCCCATTACCAATCGAAAAAAGAAAAATAAAAAAAGCCCTTACTAGGAATTGCGTGAATGAGTAAACCGGAATTTTTTTGGGGCTGGCCTGTTCTTCAATCCCTTGCCCTCTTTGTCCGAGTCGTCGATACTCGATCTTTGTTTGGTGCGTCTTGTGAAATTTTCATTGCCCAGCCAAATCTTGTTGGTTTGTTGTGTATCGTGAAACTTTCATTGCCTACCCAAAATCTGTTGAATTGATTTATTTTATTTTTTTTTTTTTTGCGATTTGTTGAATTGATTTGGTGAATTTAACAGTGACCCGCAACTTCTCCTCCGGCACGCAGATATGGAGATTATCTAGGGACTCCTGAACTCCTTGTTGTGAGGAGTTATGGGAGATGCGTGTTTTATGGAGCTGCAACTGCTAAAGAATTTGGGCGGATCTCTTGGTGTTTGGGGAGAGATATGGAGAACCTAATTTATGGGGATAAATAAGGGAGGTGCGGATTTTTGGGAAGACGTTTGAACATATTTCAATTGCAACACGTGAACAGATTTTCAGCAATAATATAAGGAATCAAAATTTCAAATTGCACAGTTTTTGAAAGATTGTCATATTCAGTAAGTCAACTTGTTTGACTGCGATTTTTTTTAAACTTTCCTCATTTGATTTATTGACCTCTCTTTTTCAATATATATAGATTCAATTTTTAATATTTTTTTGTTTAATGTGTATTAGTAAATGTATTTAATATGTTAAACTAGTGCACGGAGTAGTTCATTTTTTTTAGACTTTATTTCAGATATAATTGTTTATAATCTCATATCGTTATGGAACTAGAAAAACATAAATTATTAAACACTTCTCTTTACACAACATTTTTTATTTAAGGAATATTATTAAACGTTGCAGTTTTTATTTTTTTTTCCTTTGTCAAATCAATTAACCAATCTATGATTCTTAATGTACAAAAAATAATGAAAAGAATCCCAAACATTAAAATTTTTTTTTTTTTTTTTTTTTTAACGAAATCATCTAATTTTCCACGTTTCTTTATGAAAGAGTATAGTTCATTTTATGTAACAGGACCAAAACAACTATGCCAAATGCAGAGACATCACCACAAATCTCTGTCAGTCACACAAATAGACTAGAAAAAAGTCAAAAACAGCCACACACAAATTAATATTACGAGGATAACATGGAAATTGAGACTTAATGCAATCAACTTTGTTCAACTTGGCAACACACAACGAAGCACATTAATTGTAAAAACCACTAAACACAACAAAGGGTCTCAACGTATTGAAATGCATCCACACCCGAATACCTCAAACGACCTGGTGAATTAACACCCGCGAACTCGTACAGCACATCGAAAGTCCCACAAACGATATTATACCGGACGGCTTTTCCAGGAATCTGCACAACCAAAAACGAACCTTCCTCCTTCTCACCTCGAACTACACAAAGTATAGAAAATGCCTCCTTTAAAAGAGGGAAAAGATTGACCTCGTACTTAACAAACCATTCAGAATAGTCCCTCCTCATCTCGTACACCTTAAATTGCAAGCGCACATAGATATAGTGCAAGTGTCCACAAGACTCTCCGAAATAATAATCGTCTACACAAGACTCTCCGAAATAATAATCGTCTGCACAAGTATCTTCCAAATAATAATTGTCTCTACAACCCCAGCCAGTAGGAGGAATTGGCATTGTCCCAAACAACTGATTATCAACATTGAAATATAGAGAATCATTTCCATTTCCAATGCTAGTCCAGTGAATGGCTCCATTCCAATACACTCCATTTTCGAAACTTACTTGGACTTGTGGGGTCTTCCCGTGATTTCTCCAAGAGCCCGTTTCCGATGAATAAACCTCCAATTGGCAGCCCGTGATACTCGATTCCGATCAGATGCAGATAACTTTGTAATGAGGGGAACTGATTGGATCAAAAGCCAAGCTCATCCCACAGATCCCGCCTCCCAATTCTAGTTTGGGAAGTATGACAAACTTATTGGTGGTGGGATATAAATGACATAACATATTTATAGTGGACCCCACCACTAACATCAATAATCTACCCACCCTCTTTCACACACAAACACACACAACACACACCTACACGCAGAAAAACACACCGACGCACACATAGTAAACACACACAAACACACACAAGCTCGGCAGAACCACCGGCAGACCTCAGCCGCGCCGCCGCCGCTGCCTCGTCCTCCGCAAGCCTCTCCGGTCACATCCCGCCGAAACCAGCCTGCCTCAGTCGATTTGGAGAATTCTCCGATTTCCAGCGTGGCCGACCTCTACCGGCCTTGAGTGGTCGTCCTCTCCCGGTGGCCGTTTATCGTTGCCCCGCCGTCTCGTCGCGTTGCCACCGCCATGGTTTCGGTTCCCCGCACAAAGGCGACAGCCTGTGGATATTAAATTGCCGAACTGTTTTTTTTTTTTTCTTTTACGTGCAGAGCATCAGGCTGTGGCGGCGTTAGGCGTCGGGAGTTAAGAATGGCGGAGGACGACCATGGCGGTGGTGACTGAACGCCGGGAGTGACCTCCGGCAGAGATGAACGGATCTGAAAGATTGAAAACATGTGATTTGCAATTGTGAATTGTGGGGTTACATTTTGAGAATTTGATATGTTGTAGGGACTTGATTGTAATTTTTTTGAAGTTTTATTTATTTTAATTTAATACCTGGGGCAAATCTGTAATATAACAAAATTCTAATTAATACTCAATATATTATGTCATTATTAATCTTTAAGTTTAATTTGTTAGTTAATTGAAATAACCAAAATACTTGAAATAAATTTAATTATTTTATTCGATTCAGTTAAACGAATTATCCTAAACAATTGAAATAAATTTGTTCTTTATACTAATTTTATATTTAATATGTTAATAGTCTTATTTATTATTTTTATATTAATTTCGTAACACCTTATTTGTGTTGTTTTATAAGGTGCAACACGACGTGTTATAAGGTGCAATGCAATGTTGTATAAAGTGCAATATAATTGAAATTACCAACATAATTGAAATAAAATTTATTATTTAATATGGATTAATATTTAATATTTAATATTCTATATTATGTTTTGATTAAAAAATAATATATTAAGTAAACAAAATATATGGTGCAATTTGATAGATATTAAAGTGCAATTTGTCCAACACAATGGTGCAGGGTGACTGATTGTATTGTTCATATTGAACCAACTGACCTTTTCGTAATACATCGAGTTTGGAAATGAATATAATCAGTTGATTTATTCGATTCGGTTAACCGAATTATCCTAAACAATTGAAATAATTTGTTATTTACTAGATTTATATTCAATATTAAATTTATATTTAATACATTAATAATCTTATTTATTATTTTTATATTATTTTCGTAACACCTTAATTGTATTGTTTTATAATGTGCAACACGACGTGTTATAAGGTGCAATGTAATGTTGTATAAAGTGCAACAATACTGAAATTTGGGTACGTTAACACACCTGTGTTTTTTTTGTGAATATATGATTTACGGATATAATTAAAGTATTATGTAGAGTGCAACGTGTTATTTTACAAAGTGCAACATACTATTATATAAAGTGCAACATTTCTCTATTTAAAGTGCGTGGATTTATATCGTTCGAGGAATTTCTGTTCGTTTTATATCGTTCGTTTTTGTGCAATGTGATAGACATATATGTGCAATCTGTATAACTCTAATGTGCACTCGCAATACATAAAAATTATAGATTCAAAATAGAATTAATATAACAATAAATAACTAAATAAATAAATAATCGCTAATATTTTTTCTGTATAGTTTGGCAAGTGTGGTCATTTTATTTACTTAAAAAAAAAAAAAAATCTGACATGATAAAGTGCAGTGTGTTGAACTTTTGAAAAAGTTAAATCGAATAGAAGTACTTAGTTTATTCGGGCGGTTAGCCGAATTAATAGAAAATCATATGAATTAAATTATACTTTATGTTATAAGAAAATACTGTTTAAAACGTTAAGAATTTTATTTATTATTTTTATATAATTTTTGGTTGAAAAAATTTAAGTTCGGTCAGTTTCGATATTTGATAGTCATGATAAAGTGCAGCGTAATGTTTTGTAAAGTGCAACTTGTTATTTTATAAAGTGCAACGTGTAGATATATAAAGTGAACTGATGTAATTTTGGTACGGTAGCATTCTTGTTTTTTGGATAAATGATGTGATTAATGTTAAATTATTATGTATATCCGTTTTTTATATTTATGTTGTTGTGGTATTTTCGCGGGAGCTGTTGACGTTAATCGTGAAGTGTGTTGATAAAGTGCAACGTGTTGTATTGTAAGGTGCAACGTGTTGTTTGATAAAGTGCAATGTGCTTCGATATAAAGTGTTGATATATAAAGTGCACTACTTTATATTATTTATTTATTTAATATTTTATCTATTATTTTATTTTATCATTATATTATTTTAATATTTTATATTATTTTTATTTAATATTTTATTTATTATTCAATATGTATGTATAAAAAATATAATAAATAACATTTCTTTATAGCTTTCATTAATTACAGATTTGGCATGTGTACTAAATTGAAATATAATTATGTTACATACAGCTTGTGATTTGTAAGTTTTTTGGATTTTCTAGTATTTTCTGTAATTAGTTATATGTAGAAGAATAGATAAAAATTTGGGGAAGAAGACGAGGGGGAATAGATTGAGAAGAAAGATAAGAATTTGTTTGTCAAATCCTCCCATGCTTTCCATTCATCATCTCTAAATAACAACCAAGTGGGTCTCATGAAATAATTCTTAGTGGGCTAAACAGCTGCCCAATGAATACTTAATAATAATAAAAATAGGTCCAACATGGACCAACATAAATGAAAGCCCAACCAAAGTCCCAATCTTGAAATCAACTTCATCCCCGTCGATTGTCTGCGACCTTTCATATATTGAGACCTTCATCCTCATCGACGCAATCCTCATCGCCATAACTCAAATTCGCACTTTTATCCCCATTCTCCGTCACCAATCCTCCATTGGTTATGAGGGTCATGACAAAATTTATAAAATTGGGTCCTGAACCATTTCTAATTTTTAAAAAAAATGCCCAATTCCATTATAGGTTTGCAGGTGATTGGGGAAGGGATGCATCTTACCCGGACGCGGTTCTCCGGACAATTAGACGCAATCAGAGAGAGTCTCGCCGTCTGTCTGCTCCAATTGCACCGGGAGCTTCTCGTTCGTGCTGGTGGAAGTTAGTGTTGGTCGTGAATGGAAGTCGCCGGAGTTAGGCGGTGATGGCAAAGAGTTGTCTGTTGTGTCGAGGTTGGCCGCGAATGGAAGGTCGTCGGAGTCGAACCGAGACGACTGACGAAGGCGCGGAGACGACGGAGGAATCGAAGGGATTTTGTAGATGAGGTGCAATGGCGACGGTGGCCCGGCAACGACTGAGGCGTGACAGAGGCGGAGTAGGCGACACTACAGCGGCGGCGGAGACGACGAAATCTGTTTCTCATAGCCAGAGACGACGAGCGCAGGTTGACTGAGTGTGCGATGTTCTGCGGCGAGGGAGGGAAGGGCGGGATTTGCAGAGGCGTGGCGCAATGGCGGTGGCGCGTCGACGGCGGAGGCGTGGCAGAGGCGTAGTCGTGATGACGTCGGCGACTATGATGGTTGAATGTTCGCCGGCGAGTGTGTGTTGTGTGTGTGTGTGTGTCGCGTTTGTGTACTGTGTGTGTGAGAGAGGGAGATAGTGTGTGAGAGAGATAGAGATGGTGGGTAGGACGGGATTTTCAGCTGCAAGATTGATTAATTCGTGAAAGATGTATATTTACATTCTTAGCCTTCAATTGATATGTAAATTAAGTTTCAACGCGCCCGTATTGACCATCAGATCATGTTGATCTTGTGTACCTAATTCATTCTTATTTTTCGCATTAAGGGTCATTCTCACCGGAGCGTGACCCTATATATATATATAAAGGTTGGTTCAAATAAAAACTAACCCTGTATGAGAACCGTGAGAACCGTTTTTTATGCTATTTTTAATTGTGCATGATGCTATATTTCATATTAGATAATGCTATCATTTTTACAAATGCTAACGGAAATTGTGTTGCTATTTGTAATAAAATTCATCCTGGTTAAAAATAGCATAAAAAACAATCAATCATTGCGTTACGCCCAAAAGAAAAATAGTGGTTCTCACATTAAGACTTTTCTCATTTGAACCAAATTTTTGGTTCAAATGAGAACTAAGTTATAGCGTGAGAACCGTGAGAACCGCTATTTTTAATTGTATGTAGTGCTATGATTGATTATATTTTAGTGCTATTTTTAATCAGAATGTATTTTATTAAAAATAGCAACACAATTTATGTTAGCATTTGTAACAATGATAGCACCACGTGAAATTAAAAATAGCATCATGCACAATTAAAAATAGCACCAAATATGGTTCTCACACCACAACTAGTTTTTATTTGAACCAACCCATATATATATATATATAAAGGTTTGATATTTACCTAAAAAAATAACTAAAATCCCGTTTATAAATTTAAAACTTACTAATGTTGATAAGTTATTTTTAGAATTTTTAAAAGGTCCTGCCATTGGATCATAAATATGAATTTTAAAATTGATTTGAATTTATTTTGTGGTAAATTCCATTAATTATGGAAACAAATTTAATTATGATTTTTAATATAAAATAACGGTTTTGCTATGAAGCCAACAGTTGACTTCATAGTGGAGCCAACCTTCTATATACAACAAATAAACCTACCATATTCTCTGGTTACTAGAATAAAACTAATATAATTTTATTATTTAAACAAACATTCCAAATATTGGAATGATTTAGTAAATCTCTCCCAAAAATTATTGGGTGGAAATTAACTGGACCTATCAAAATAACATGCTACGAAAATTAGCATAAACTGGTAATATTTAACTTTCCGTTGAATTCATGTATGCTCTTCAAAATGAAAGTTAGTATACACTATATACTTGGTTCCTTTCTGCCAAGGTTCCATCTTTCCATTATGATTAATTTTTATTGGTACAAATTAGTATTTATCGTGCTTATATTGTTCGATTCCTTAATTTGATTCATTTTTTTTATCCTTATATTAATATCTATATGTCCAATACAAGTTTTTTATTGCAGACCTTTTTTGCATATATATCTATAATTTATAATAATATAAAAAGGTTTGGAATTTACCTGAAAAAATAACTACTTTCCTATCTAAAAAATTCATTTTTCCTTTATTAGTAAAAAATTTTAGGACTGGCGGTCATAATTTGAAATTCAAATTAAAATTATATTAATGTTTTAGGTAATCAAAGAATATGGTAGGTTTATTTGATGTATATAGAAGGTTGACTCCACTATGGAGCCAACTGTTAACTCCATAGCAAAACCGATATATATATGGTCAAAAATTGTGGCTGTCCGGATTCTACTCGGAGTTTCACCATCTATAGTGATGCTTCGAGGCAAGGTCTAGGATGTGTACTTATGCAAGACGGCCAAGTTGTAGCGTATGCTTCACGCCAGTTGAAACCACATGAGCAGGACTATCCTACACACGACTTGGAGTTCGCAGTAGTAGTACACGCACTTAAGATATGGCGACATTATCTTTATGGAGGTCGGTGTGAGATTTATACCGATCACAAGAGTCTGCAGTACATCTTCACACAAAAAGAGCTCAACATGCGTCAGAGATGGTGGTTGGAGCTTGTGAAGGATTATGACTGCACTATTCAATATCATCCGGGAAAGGCGAACGTCGTAGCTGATGCCCTAAGCCGCAAGGTGAAGGGTGAGTTGGCTTGTTCTACCACTCAACAGGAACAACTTATTCGAGATTTTATCCGGATGCAAATTCAGGTCGTCGAGTCACTTCCTGCGGAGATCACGGGGAGTGTTAGCTCGATGCGAGTCCAACCCACACTACGAGACACAATTCAGCGGGAACAGACGTACGATCAGTTTGTTCATTCTATTGAGGCAAAAGTTCTTGCCAGAGGAATCGAGGGCTTTTATCGAGGCACAGATGGTTTCTTGGAGTTCAGAGGCCAGGTTGTCGTACCGACAGTCGAGGCCTTACGCAAGGAGATATTGAACGAGGCACACACCGCGCCTTATCTAGCCCACCCCGGAAGTACAAAGATGTACCACGACTTGAAAAGGTCATTTTGGTGGCGGGTGTATGAAGAATGACGTAGCCGACTTCGTAAGGAAGTGTTTGGTCTGCCAACAAGTAAAGGCCGAGCACAAGAGTCCGTTGGGCCTTCTACAACCACTTGAGATTCCAAAGTGGAAGTGGGAGGAAGTTACGATGGACTTTGTTACAGGGCTACCTAAGTCGTCCGAACATCACGATGCGATCTGGGTAGTAGTGGACAGATTGACGAAGGTCGCACACTTTATGCCCGTGACAATGACTATGTCGATGGAGAAGTTAGCCGAAATCTATACCCGTGGGATCATTCGACTCCACGGAGTGCCTGTTACGATTATATCAGATCGAGATCCCAGATTTACTAGCAGATTCTGGGAGAGTTTACACGAGGCGATGGGCACGCAATTAAAGTTTAGTTCGGCTTACCATCCTGAGACAGACGGTCAGTCCGAGAAGACAATCCAGACGCTCGAAGATATGCTTCGAGCTGTGGTTCTGGACAGAGGTGCCAAGTGGGGGTCGTCGTTACCTTTAGTTGAGTTTGCCTATAACAATAGTTATCAGACGTCAATTCAGATGGCTTCTTATGAAGCACTTTACGGCCGCAAGTGTCGATCGCCCCTTTATTGGGATGATGTCGGTGAACGTCGAATACTCAGTCCAAAAATGATTGAGGAAACAGTTGAGCAAGTCGAGTTGATTCGAGAAAGGCTCAAGACAGCTCAGAGTCGGCAGAAGTCCTCAGCCGACGAACATAGACGAGACATGCAATTCGAGGTCGGAGATCGAGTCTTCTTGAGAGTTCGACCTTTTCGAGGGGTCGTTCGATTCGGGAAAAGGGAAAAGTTACATCCTCGTTATATAGGCCCGTTCGAAGTTCTCGATCGAGTAGGCGAGGTAGCGTATCGTTTAGCTTTGCCTCCCGAGTTATCCAATGTTCATAATGTTTTTCACGTATCAATGTTACGGAAGTACGTGTGCGATCCCAATTATGTGCTGCAGCACAATGAGATTCAGATTCAGCCAGATTTGACCTACGAGGAGCAGCCGGTAGTAGTATTGGACCGAAAGGTCCATCAGCTCAGGAATCTAGATATTCCCCTTGTTTGTATCAAATGGAATCGCCACGGATATTCCGACGCTACTTGGGAGCGCGAAGTTGATATTAGGACTCGATTTCCAGATTTTCAGTTTTGAAATGTAAATACAAATTACGTATCTTTGTAGATATTTTGAGCTTTGAGTTGTACATATTTTCAGTTCTAGTATTTCCGAGGACGGAAATAGTTTAAGGGGGGTAGATTGTAATATCCCGTTCTTTTGTTAAGAAACGTAATATTCTTAGTTCCGAGTTTTGAACTATTTTTACTTTTAGTGTTATTGCTCGTTTTTAGTTCCCGAGCCAAGTTATAAAGTCATTTAATTATAAGTTCGACTTTAGGTCGAAAATCGATTCGGTTTTAAGTTCATTCAGTAATCGAGTCAATTTCAGCAGTTAATTTCGAACCGTTTATTTTTACAAACGGATATTAATAACCGGGATTAGTATTTTAAGGCGACGGGATAATCGAAGTCGAGAATAATTCGATAAATCGTCGAAGTTAAGTCGCGACCGAATACCGAACAAGTTCGGTTCGATTAATTTCGAATTTTTCTCGAAACCCTAACCGAGCCTTATAATATTTTCTGAAATTTTTTTAAAGTTAAGTCATCAAAAAATAAGTCCCTAAGTCAATATGTAAGCCTTAGAAATTTTCATGCTAGGCCCATGTAGGGTTGAGTCCAGCCCATATGCACGGCCCAACAAGCGCAGCCCAGTGCGCGCCAGGGCCAGACAGCAGGTGTAATATCCCATTCA